GGTGGCAACTTTATCCTTGGGCATGTCTTGCTCGCATCCTCAATTTGGAATCTTCTATTGTATTTTTTCCCAATATTATTTGAACGCTGGTGTTGCAGCCGACATCAACACAGAAGCATCTTCTCAAGCTCTCAACCAAAGCAAGGATACAGAGAAGATTGCCTTGACGACTAGCTAATGGCGTCGGCGGCAAAGAAGGTACTGACCCCTCCCGACCTTCCCTTTGCCTTCTATGTTTGAGGAGCATGAGCTTGTTGCAATGTCGGAACACCAAATGATCAACATTAGACAGAACGGGCAAAAAGTTATCTCACTTACCTTGGTAATTAAATGTTCTTTTGTGCTCATATAATGTGCTTCGCTAGCAATGTTTTTAGATCGGACGACTAATCGCGATTAGTCGTCCTTATCGTAACCAGGTGCTCGATAAGGGCCTTCGATTAGTTTAGACCGATTAGAAAACTTATCGTCCGATAAGTTGCGACTAATCACGATTAGTCGTCCGATCAGACTAGCCGGACGACTAGTTCGGGGGGGGGATTTGGCCCAGCTAAAGAATTCGGCCCACCTTTAGCTGGCCCATTAGGGTAAGAAGAAGAGGAGTGAGTGAGTGACCTAGTGGGAGTTGCAGCCGCATTTCCAGCTCCCGCTGCTCTCTCTCGCAGCCGCTGCTCTCTCTCTCGTAGCCGGCGGCGGCCTGCCTCTGGATCTCCCTCGCCGGTGTCCGTAGCTCCATCCACGCCTCTGTCGGGCGTCCTCAGCTCCGCCCGCGCTTCTCGCCGGCGTCCACAGCTCCGCCCGCGCTTCTGTCCGGTGTCCGCAGCTCCGCCCGTGCCTCCACCTCCGCTCGCTCCTGTCTCCTCCCCTGCCAGGACCCAGTAGCTTCGCCCACCTCTGAGGCTCCTACCTCGACGCCTGGAAGATGGACACGGGAGGCCTCGAGCATCAAGATGAGCCACCATGATACAGGTAAGTGGCCAAATCAGCGAGCAGCAGTTACAGATAAGTGGCCAAATCACCATGATAATGATTCATTGCAAACATGATTACATGCCAAACTGTGCTTAGTTACTTGCCTCTAACATTTACCTATTTATTATGGCCATGTTTACATATATTTACATCATATATATAGTAAATACATAGTCGATCAGGTCATCTAGGCACAAGGACGACTAAATGTCCGACTAGCCGATTAGACCAATTAGGACCGACTAATCGACCCTTATCGACGACTAATCGCGATTAGTTGTCTGATCGGTGGTCATACGACTAGCCTCGATAATACGATCTGAAAACATTGTTCGCTAGACAACTGTTTGCATCAATAGTATCTATGCATGATTTTTTAACTTGAACATTTAGAGAAATATTAGAACTACGTAGTGTAAATGTTTAGAGCACAGTTCTCAGTTTACCAATATTTTCTGAACCTGGCAAATATACCTTTGTTCATAAAGCTACTGAATCCTAATGAGTAGCAACAGTAACAACACCATACCCTTGGAAAGCTCTTTAACGAACTTCAAGGTTTGATGTCTGAACACATCTCTAGAAAATCTTCAGTTCTTTACCAAGATATCATCCATAAGAAAATATATATGAACTATTCCTCAGATGAGTAATAGTCTTATTTTCGACAGGTCTCATTTCAGAGATAGTTGAAGAAAGACTACAGTAACAAACACATGCATCATTGGAATATCCTTGCTTTGTGTATTTATTTTTAGAGTGTCTCATAGAGCTAAGTTACAGATGGCAAGATAAAAATCTAATAAAAGGATCATTAGTATCAATCATTTTTCTGCTTCTGAATGGAGCCACCAAGAACAACAGCAACAAAAAAGATTCTTAACTCAACTAAATCAAAGCTATGGCTATGTTGGAAACCTCAGCAAACCGTTATTATCTTTAACAGAAGCATACTATGTTGAACACAAACAACATGGGGCCATACTTACATTCATTGCTTTCATCATTGTAGTGTGGAAAATTCTTATTTCAATCTTTATTTGCATTTTTAGACATAATGTAAGGCATGCCACTCTTTATATGCTTGTTTTGAACAGGATTTCCTCATAGTACCAAGGACAAGGTCTCATTTTTCCATACTGTGAAGCGTACAATATCTAGACCTGAAAGGATATTTTCTTACCCCATATTAACTTGGTTATTTTAACAACGATCCATGCCCACAGTTTAGGCCCCGTTCACTTCGCTGAAAAAACAAGCCGAAACACTATTCCGGCTGTTTTGTTGTGAGAGAAAAACACTATTCCGGCTGAAAAAACAAGCTGAAAAGTACGGATTATAAGAAAAGCGAATAGGGCCTTAGTACAAATCAGTGGATGGTACCATCAAATCAAATCCTTGCTACTTTCACCTGCTTAATACTGCATTGCTGTTTTTAATAGTTTCAATATTTGTATTTGATGTCATTACATGCCTTATATATAGGAGTAGCTCCATGTAAAAAACAGACCATGTTATCTTGATTAAGGATGTTAGAACCTCGTTATTTCAGCTTATGTTATCTTTAAGCTCGTTGCTAGTAGCAACTGTGGAACCTCACTATTTGCAGACTGCTGTATACAGGCCAATCTTTTTGCAGACATGTTTTTTGATCTTTTACAGACGAAATACCATTGAATTACCATCATGGAGTACAAAGAACATACACCAATACTGCCAATAACTACTCATAGATGGGCCGTGGGCTAATCCAAGCTGGCACGGCAGCGCCGCGCCCATCTTTTCTAGTCATACAGGAACAGCACTTCCCCTCGGGTACCAAGGACTGCACATCCTTGTCTTAACAAGGTGTTGCCAGCAGCACATTTTGTCTCTGTCAAACTACCCGCTACCAAAACACAAAGCATTTGCCATTTCAATCCAATATGAGACTAGATGAAATCAGGGTGCACCTCATCTTCCACCACTACATCAGTAGTGGCCTCAGTAGAGGCATATTCGTCATGTTCAGTCCAGCGCAGCCCAGGGGTATCAGACCCTTTCCTCTCACCAAAAAGGCTCGTGTCCAAATACCTGCTCCATTTCGATCTTTGCACTGCACAGAAAAAGAGTATGATCTCTTTCAGGTCTTACAATCCTCCCTTGAAATAAGTTTTTTTTATCAAAGAAATAAGAAGTGTTCTAATTCGAAATTACCAAGTGTCTGATGTGTCATTAGGGTTTGCATGTTACCTTCAGCAGTAGTAGTTGCACAGCGGGGACTTGATCCTTGCTTGATTTGTTGCCGCTTATTATATAAAGTGGGATGTGTTGACAGCTTGGTTCTCTTTCCTACTACATCTGATTGGGCTTTGAGAGGCCGAACTTTAGGTCTTTTTTGAGGCAGTTCAGTTATCACCTCAATTCCTTCACCTGATTCTATATTTCGACGGGGAAACAGTTGGACGATGCATCACAATTTTAGCCATCACATGTTCAAAACTTGATAATAAATGAATTACAAAGGCAACCAGCTTATAACAATCAAATATGCAGCCTCATTTGAATATGTAAAGCACAAATTAGAAATAAAATGTTTCATAATGGCAGATGTGATTAATTTCTATCGAACAATTAGATGTGAGAATGAGGTTACTGTCTTAGAAACTTGGACTACTGTCTGGCTTCCTGGACAATGATGAGTTGATGACCTAGCCATACAAACATGGACACTTGATTTAATGACGACAAAAGGATGTAAGGTAAGACAGAAGGTTCCTACACCTAGAAGTGCCATCTTCATGATAATGATAACAGTAGTTTATATGGCTTGCTCCAATAATTCAAGACATATAAGACAGCAAAACCTTACTAACGATACAAGTATGCTGTTTCACAGAAAAAAAGACACAAGTATGTTGTTTCAGCTTAGTGAGACCTCAGTTCAGCCTTTGAACCACGACTGTATAATACAAGTTTGCAACTGGCTCTACAAAGCCACAGCCACATTATCTTACCAAATAAACATGTAACTGTAATGGTTTTTAGAGTTTTAGGGACAATAACCCCACAAACTCAATTGCACTGCAGTGGACCAAATAACCACAGTAGTTGCACAAGATCAATAAACCAACAGAACATCCACTCTCAATCCCATAAAAAAACATTTGTCAACAGAACACACACAATCTGAAATGTGAATTGCAGCGTTACATCGAACACATGTCGTATGTCGAGCATACCTCCATCTGAAGCATCGGCGCCCAGGCCACCACGACCATTACCCGGCTCCCCCAAATCGTCCAGATACTCGGACCACTCCGTCTGCCTCTTCTCGATGGGGAGCACATCTCCCTGCTCCTCAACCGCCGCCGGGTCCCATCCCACGTCGGGCTCGGCCAACGGCGCGAACTCCCGGCGGCCGCGGGCAAGGTTGGCGTCCTGGACGAAGCGGCGGAGATCGGCAGCGCGGTAGCCCCGGGCGTGGACGTGGAGCACGGACTGGCGCTGGTTGCACACCACGCAGACCCACTTGTTGTTGCTCTTCTTCTGCTGCTTCACCTGAGACCAAAGCGAATCCGAGAAACGGAACCGGATCAGTTGGAATGGGGTTTTGCGCAGTTCGGCTGCGGCAGCGGCGCAAGTTGCGCACCTGCATGGTGGCGCACTGCACGCACTGGAGGGCGAGGAAGAGTCTCGTCTCCATGGCGATGGCGGGTTCTCGAGTGGAGAGGAGATGGCGAGCCGAGAGCCCGAGAGATTTGAATTTGGAGGCGGCGGATTAGAGAATTCGTGCGGTTTACGATCGAATGGGGAGAGGAAAACTGCATTAACGGGCCGGACTTTTGGAATTCTTTTGTTTCATTTTTTGCAAAACTAGACCGCCTACAATTTTCCGTTAGGATTTATCTGGACCGTCCATTTTTCATCGTAACGATCCTGCCCGGGAACCAGGAAGGAAGAAAGGTCCTTGAACTCGAAGGCTCGAGGCCCAGACGCCTGCTCCTGCCACGGCTGCGACGCGGTCACGCCCACGCCCACGTCCTTCCATGGCGACCGCTCTCCCCTCCTCCGCCCCCGCTTCCGCCACCGCCGCTTCTTGCCTTCTCCATCTCTCCCGGCGCGGCCTCCCTGGAGCATCTCCAGTGCTCTCCCCTCCTCGCACTGCCACTTTCCGCTGGCGCGGTGGCTGTAACGTGGCCTGTCCATGCTCTCCCGGCCCACCGCCTGCGGTTCCCGCGGAGCCAAGGGGCGACGACGTTGCTGGCCATGCCACGTCTCCAGTTGCAACCGTACGAATCGTCGCCGTGGTTGGAGAAGGTAGCATCAGCCCGATTAAGGATACGCCCTGGGAAGAGGTCATGCGCCATATGGTACGCTCCCTCTCTGAATCCATCAGTCCAACGTCGTACTGTGTCATTGTGTGTGTTAATTTGGAATAGCCGTATATTTGAATTTGTTCTGCTCATGCTAGGATTTTAGTATCTGCTAGACTGATGATACTTACAGTTTTGTTCGTCCAACTAGTAGTATCTGTGATTATCTGTAAACAAACATACTTACAGTTTTGTTCGTCCAACTAGTAGTATCTGTGATTATCTGTAAACAAACATATTTTTTCCTTTTCAGCATTGCTGATGTAGTAACAATGTCTATAATCTTTGCATCGATTGGTAGTCTTATTTTCTCAATTATACGGTTTGGTCAACCTACCGGATCACACTCTCGTATGTGCACTGCATTTCTTACCTGTGTTTATTGATGTTTTGATGAAGTTATTTTGTGCTTCACGTTTTCATTATGTATTTTACATGCTTATACCAATATAATACACTTTGAGAAATAAGTGTTCTGAAGAGGAAATGAATCGGTTTAATGTTCACTTTTTAATACCTATAATTTGATTATATCAGTTTCCTTCCTTCAACATGCATTTATTGGTTTGTTTCTTTTAGGCAGATAGGCTGAAGTGGGTCGATGAAGGATTTGAAATGCTTGTCTTCACAGACAACTTGATTGATCATGATAATCTTAGGAAAGAGTTACTGTCACAATGTGATATGCTACTCAATGTTGCAATAACAAACCAGGATGCTGTTCAATGGCTTATAAACAACAGCAAACACATTTCTAATGTAATTTGCTTTCAGTCATCTCCATCTTTAGTAAACAAGCTAGGTGGCACATATGTTCAATACACTGGAGAGCAGGACATGTTTGGAAAGCTAGCAAATATTGGGAAACCAAGTGGTGTAAAGGAATCAGCTGAAGTTTTGAAGACCATATCTAATGCTTGGGAAAGACACAATTCAGATGACATTAGATTTTGCTTGCTTGTTGTTGTAAATGCATACATAAGGCCGGTTTCTATGCTGAAAAATCTAAGGGCAAAAGGTCTTTCTACCCTAAGTTGTATGATAAAGAACTGTGGTCCTCAGATACTTAATTGTCTGTTTGACCCTAACTGTAGGAAGGCCCTTCAGTGTTTGAATTCCTGTTCTCCGACTGATCAAGTCTGCAACTATCGCTGTATTGCATCATATGAAAGTCCGTATCTGGAGGCCTTTTCTCTCTGTGTTTTGCAGAAGAACAATTGCCTTGACCTCAATGCTGAGATACCCAGTAAACCGAATGTAATGCCACTAACCATGTTCAGAGAACAAAAACTAAGCCATGAAATCGCAGAAGATCTATTTGTTGGTTGGTTGGACAGCATGGAATGGAGTTGGCGAGTGGCAGCTGGACAAAATACCAGCATATGATCAGTTCCCATGTCAGTATCAGTTATTCTACAGAGGGAAAGCCAAAGGTTCATTTTGGTATGAGCCTGTTTTTCAGGTCAAAACCCTGGAAGGAGAGCTGGTTTGGAGGCGCAGGAGGTATCGTGTGAGAAGGGCTAGCACTCCTGGTACATTTTACTTTAGTGTGTTGGATAATGGTGTCATTTCCAAAGAATTTTGGACAATTGTTGACGTTGCGGAGGATTTCAGCTGGGGTCTGTTCCATTATCATGGTGCTGCACAAGCTGCTGGGCTATCATACACTGGAGCAGTGCTTGTTACTCCAGATGGGTCTTATCCTGATGTGGAAGACCCAAGATTGGCCTCTGCTTTAGAGAAGTGTGCTATAAAGAAATGGGAGCTCTATACAGTTGATAACTGTTCCTGCATGGGTGCGCCACTGGGAACTCCTGAGGGTTCAAAGCTGCATCATCAGATTTCTCCAGGAAAAGAAACTAGTATTTTGCAGAGAAGATGATAATTTGTAATGTGTTCAAGTGACTCCCAAATGATTCTGTCGTACATACAAAGATGTACTGACAAGTGGACATGTATTGCTGAAGAGAGCTCATCTGTAACCTGCAGGTATATTTTCTTCTTTCTAATACACATGTAACCTAATGGCTATCTTTTGTGGCTGCCATCAGGGTTTTCGGTGATTAAGAAATAAGATTTTGAATACAAGATCATCACCTGTACAGTATACACTAGTGTCTAAGTTATCAATTGCAATGTCTGCTTTTCTTCAGGACTTTTATATTTACAGCAACAGATCACACTGGTTACAACCTGCACTGGTGAGCAGATGTCTTCAATTCTTCATCACCTGTGTAGAGCTGCAATACTCTTTACAAGATCAAAACTGATTTCCTGCCATGTTGTGCCAGTATTAAATCCCTCGTAACAGAACTGAGGAGTTCTGATTTTTTCTTGCATTAAATTACCTTGGTATTTACTGTCTACTCCATCCGTTCCAAATTATAAGACGTTTTGGCTTTTCAAGATACGTTGCATTTGCTATGCACATAGATATACACTATGTCTAGATACATAGTAAAATCAATGTATCTAGAAAAGCCAAAACGTCAAATAATTTGGGACGGATTTAGTAATAATCTTTGATCGAGTACTTGTATTAGAAATTACTTCTGATGTAGTGATGTATTCATCATCATTGATGAGACCAAGAGTTGACTGCTCGTTGTACATTTGGAATAAAGATGAAAATGGCGTCTTGTAGTTGATTCAGCATTTTATACGCACTAGTTCATTTTTAGCATCTTCGGTGTTCCCATCAGTACCTGTTGAAGCATCTTGTAATGTTCAGACAGCTCAGTTCGCTATCAGAGCGAAGGAGACACATTGGTCAAGCAGGAGGTGTATCTGGGCAGACAAGTTAGAGTAAGCAACTGACCAACCTCACGATGTGTCGGTGTTTTCGGATCACCGACGGGTAAATTTGTATTTGCGTGTCTGGCTCAGATGGTGTGCTCGGAGGACACAAGGGTTTATACTGGTTCTGGCGGAACGTGTCTACGTCCAGTTCGCTGCTGCTTGTGTTACTGGCACTTGATTTGCAGTGGGGGTTACAAAACAGGCGAGAGAGGGAAAGGATCCCAAGTTTCTGATGGAAGGAGTGAACGGGTGCTGAGAGCTCGATTGCCGCTGCCCTGTGTGCTCGTGTCGTGCTCTTGTGTTCCGATTCGTTCGGCCCCCTTTCATGGGGCGCCCTGCTTTTCTTTTATAAGCGAAGGGAAAGCGCGGGTTACAACGGATAAAAAGGAGAAGAAGAGAGAGAGAAGAGAGAGAAGAAGGCTTCCAGGATTGCCAGGTCATTCTCCTTCATGCGGGTCCTGCCGATGATCTTGTAGATGTCAACAGGAACGGCTCCACGTCGCGGCCCCATTCATCACTGGCGCCTTGCGCAGGTGTTATCTGTCGGTCATGGCGTTCCACTCTGTCTCCGGCGGACGTCGTGGTGAATTGACGCGTCTGTCAGCGTCTGTACGAGGGTTAGGCAGAAGAGTACCGGCACGCCCGACACTGTTCTTAATGTGAATCGTTAGGTATGGCCACGGGTTACATCGAGGCGTGCCAGCCTCTTTCCTGGTGTCAGAGTTTTGACCCATGCCCATACGCTTGGAGCTGGAGTGGTTGGCGGCGGTATAGGTCCCCGTCGGACGAGACGGAGCACAAACCCCAAGGGGTCGAGGCGAGATGGAGCCCGCACCCAGAGAGTCAGGCGAGACGGAGCCCGCGTCCTCGGGGTCGGGCTCTACCCGCACTCGAGGGGTCGAACGAGACGGAACCCGTGATCTTAGGCGAGACGGAGCCCGCACCCGAGGGGTCGGGCGAGACGGAGCCCGTGACCTTGGGCGAGACAGAGCCCGCGACCTTAGGGTCGCTCGAGACCTTTTAATACGTCTCGAACCATGCGGAAAAGTCAGCACGAGCGCTAACCTCTTTGCTTTGGGTATCCCTAATAACGATACCCGATACGTTGATTTGCTTTATTGAGTTATTCCACGGTATACATGTTTCAGATTTGATGGATGTCCTTGTGTTAACCTAAGTTTCTACAACCTATATATAGATTTGGCTGCTGCTGATGACTGATTTGTTATTGTCAGAGAAAAATAATGTTTATTTGAAAAGTACCGAAGTAGTGTTTAAAAACAGGACGAAGTTCTTGTTTTTACCTGATTGCTCTGAGCGGCCTGTCCCTGCTTTCTTGATACCATGTGGAAAATCATCTCATGTTGTGTACGGTTTCTGCTGCTGCACAGGATTCCCCATGACCCCATGTGATGTTGCAGTTTGAGTCAAATATATGTGATTCAGTGGATAATGCAAAGTTCCTCTTTTTGAACGGGATCATATGACTACTTTGACTTGGCTACGACTTCGACCACTTTTGTGGCTATAAATTCCATCCAGATCAGACCCTGCAATCCGCACTTGAAAGGCAGGGGATACCGAGACAATTGAAGCCGAGAAGCGAGAAAGAATGGCGGGGCTCTACGAGAAGCCGTCGGAGACGTACGCCAAGAAGCGTCCGCAGTACCCCAAGGAGTGGTTCTCCATGCTGGCCGGCCTCACCGCAGGGCACCAGCGCGCCTGGGACGCCGGGTGCGGCACCGGCCAGGCCGCCATCAGCGTAAGCTTTCCATCGAATGTTCAGTAGCTGCTACACCGTTCGATCTGATTCATTCTGAAACGAACATCTGGGGGGGAAACTCAGATGGCGGAGCACTACGAGAGCGTGGTGGCGACGGACGTGAGCGTGGGCCAACTCCGGCACGCCATCGCGCACCCCAAGGTGCGGTACCTCCACACCCCGGAGCACCTCTCGGAGGACGAGCTGGTGTCCCTGGTCGGCGGTGAGGGCTCGCTGGACCTGATCGTGGTGGCCACCTCCATCCACTGGTTCGACATCCCGCTCTTCTACGCCGTGGTGAACCGCGCCCTGAGGAAGCCCGGCGGCGTGGTCGCCGTGTGGGGCTACAACTACGAGATCCACCCGTTCGAGGACGCGCTGCACGGCCAGCTCTACCCGGCGCTGCGGCCGTACCAGGACCCGCGGGCAGGGCTGGCCATGGAGCGGTACCGGGCCCTGCCGTTCCCGTTCGAGCCCATCGGGGTGGGCGCCGAGGGCGCGCCCGCCGACGTGGACATCGAGGTGGAGATGACGCTGGAGGACCTGGTCGGGTTCCTGAACACCGGCTCTGTCGTTACCACGGCGAGGGCCAAGGGCGCGGACCTGGAGGCGGTCACGCGGGACGCGCTGAAGCGTGTGGAGGAGGAGTGGGGCGGCGCGCCCACCGTGCCCAGGAAGCTCGTGTTCAAGGCGTTCATGCTCGCCGGGAGGCCCAAGTAATGAAGCGATCGTGCCGAAGTGCCGAGCCGCTGATTGGTTGTTGCTGATCAGTGCTTTTCGTTTGCTCGTGGTCAGGAATAAGTGCTGCTTGTCAGGTCAGCGTGAGACTGAGATCAGACTACGTCATCATATAGCCAGCCACTGGAGTATGTCTGGCGGTCCAATATTTTCTCCTTGTGCCGAATAAGTCCGAGCAGATGCTACGGGCTAATTACGTTTTTTAGATAATATAATACGTGCTGATTACTTGTGGAATTATCCACCCGTTTGTTCAGTTTGGACTTTGGAATGAATCCACTGCGCTATTATCTGAACTTCTATGTGGAAACTCGACACAAGAAACAAGGGCTATTTTTCTGCCGTTTGATAAGCAAATTCTTGGTCTCTGGTAGATTTGGAATCAAATTCAGGAGAGGGACCTGAAGCTGTCTTTATCTCTGTCCTCGGATAACCAGCTAGTAATAGTAGCAGACAGATGAGCATGAGCCACACGCCGACACGCTCTCGCAACAAGTTGACTGTGCTTTCGCAGTCACCGTGCAGGTATTCACAAAAAAAAGTTTTTTTCTTTTTTGGAAATAGGGAAAAAGTGCTAACTCGAGAGCTGGAATGCTCGACGGGCTCGCTGCTCTCATCGCACTTTGCCTTCACGATCCCTTTACGGGCCATGACTCGGCTCACATTCATACCAAAACTCGATTCTCCATCCTTGGATTTTGGATCTCTCTAACCAGGTTGGGCTCCGAGTGTGTGAGGAGATGCCGATTGCATGGTCAGCACGAACAACAAAGCTAATGTCTTATTACTGACTTGATGTTGGTGTGGACAAGTTAGCGGGTACCGGCTCCCTCTCTCCATCACACACGTCGCAAAAGTAGTCCAAATGTGTTAGAGCCTGTCCGGTTCTGTCTGGATCCACTAATGTTAAGTTAGCAATTAAAATTAGCAGAGGAAGATCCAAACAGTCCAGCTTGCTAACTATTAGCAAGCAGAGGTGCTAACAATTAGCTTATTAGTTGTTGAAGATACGTAAATAATTCATATACACCTTCGACCAACTATCCATCCTCCTATTTAAGTTAGCAATTAATATTAGCAGACGAAGACCCAAACAAGCCGGCTTGCTAACTATTAGCAAGCAGAGGTGCTAACAATTAATTTATTAGTTGTTGAAGATACACAAATAGTTCATATACGCCTTCGACCAACTATCCATCCTTCTATTAGTAGGTGAAACCAAACAGACCTACTAATTAGTTAACTAACCATTAAGTAGCTTTTTAACTATTAGTATCAGTGGATCAAAGAGGCCCTTACACCCGAAGCAACCAAAATGGGACAAGTGACATATAGCAAAAGCGCTTGTAACTAGAGCCAAGAGGTCATTAGTGGTGACCAATAGGTAATGTGCTCCTCTTCAGCAGTGGTTTCGCCCGAGAGAAACATGCAAATACCACATGTGGCAGTCCACAGCCACTTATATCAAGTGTAATAAAAAAAGATATTTGCCTGTATGACCTTAAAAATGCATCTTCCTTTAATAGTCTTTTTTCTTGAACTTACCTAGAAGGTCCCAAAACGAAAATCCCTTACATGCATGGCCTTCAGTCGGTTTTAGGCACTTAACTGTGTTAAGTCATCATTTTACCCCTGGCGGAAAAAATCAAGTGTAGGTTTTATTTTGTCTATTTTAAATTTGGATTTGTGCAATTTTTTATGTATTTGATAAGAGCATCATCATGTTAGATTGATCTCCAACGATCGAGTCGGACCCTGACTCGCGCCCTGATCGGGACGCCCAGCCGCACACATGGCTGGTGGGTCCCTGTCGCGTAGCGCTATAAAGAGAAGGTGGGGGCCGGGGGCTCAAGGTACGAGGTTCATCGCCGCCCAAAGAATCCCACCGACAAACCCTAATCCAATCTAGAGGGTGCGCTAACAGCGACGGAAAGCGCCACCGCCTTTGCCGTCGCTGGGACGCCGCCGCCACTGGACCGTCGTCACTGGCCTTCACCGCCGGGACGCCGCTGTCATCGGACACCGTCGCCATGGCCACCTCCTCCACCAAGCTTGATGGTCTGCCTCTCTACACCCTCTCTCTCCCTTTAGTTTTCTTTCTAGGATGATCTACTTGTTTATTCCGAATGTAAGAGAAATCACCCACTAATCTATGCCTAGCTGATCCTTGTTTTCTAACAATGGTATCGGAGCCAGGTTAGCGTGTAGATCTAGTTTGAGGAAGAAAATAGAAGGAGGTGATTCAAATTTTGACTTCGGTTGAAACCCTAACCCTAGAGGACAAGGATGGGATGGAGGAGGAACTTAGCTGGCCTTCTCCATCGCCATCGCCATCGCCATGCCGCCGTCCATTGACGGCGCATGGGAAGACCGGCCGAGCCGTGGGCTCGCGTCGGCGCTCTAACGCTCCACGTGCAGGTGCCTAGGGCGCCGTCTCTAGACCGCTAGACGGCGGCGTGCTCCACTTAGAGCGAGCGCACGCACCGTCGAGGGGACCGGCGGTGGCGCCATCTTTCTTTGGCCGCCACGGGCGGCCACCGCTGTTGCGGCGCTAAGAGAGAAGTGGGAGGGAGAGAGATGACCTAGCGTTTTGGGGGAGGCCGGCCGACTGTGGTTTTGATCCGCCAAAACCCCCGAGGAGCCGTCCGATGAGATGGATGGATGGCCAGGTCACTGGTGGCTTTTGGCCCAAAGGGAAGGAGTTTCCTGCCCGACCAAAGTTGTGGCTGGGCATGGGGGAGCGCCAGCATGTGGGTGAGCCATGGGCCGTTTATTCTTGGGCCATGGGCCGTTTTATTCTTGGGCCAAATGCACAGTAGCCTTTGAGTTTAAGTTTTATTTTTCAGAAGCACCTTCTGATTTATTTGATGAATTTCAGTCAATGTATGAGTTTAAATCTTTGATAAAATTTGCACCGACGTGTTAGATTTTTTCAGAGAGTAGATGAGGACCATGAAATGCTTCTGAATAAGTAGAATAAATTCATTTAATGTTTCTGCTGCTATAATTATGTTAATCCTCTAATTAAATTGAAACCAACAGGAAAATTTTAATTGAATGAGTAGTCATATTTATTTAAGTTAAATTATGATATTGTTAATTTTCTGACCAATGTTGATGATAACAATATTATAAGTTTATTTATGAGTTCTGTGCATTAGTTCTATTTATGTAGAGTTAATGTAGAAGCACATTATATGTTTTAATTTTAACCAACGTTAAATTAAGGCATACAATTATTATGTTAAAAGTTTCTCATTTTCTCTGATTTTGTTTTCATGATACAACCCAATGACGTTTATCTCGTCCATTCCGCCTCTCAATGGAAGCAACTATAACATATGACAAGAGAAGCTTGAGATAGCACTTACGTTGTCCGATAATAATCTAGGGCTAACCTCTCCCTGTCCCACTGAGCCTGAGGACCCAACGAGGGCAGAAAATGAGACGGATGCAGCTTTCGCTACTCAGGAGCGTGACCATGCAATAGTAAGAATGAAGTCCGACCTTGATCATGCGAAGTGGGATAGTTCAAACCATAAGCGTTTGATGGTGATTAAGGGCTCCATTGAAGGTCCAATAAGGGAATCAATCCCTAGAATGTACCATCGCCACTAAGTATCTCAAGAAGGTGGAGAGTCAGTTTACTGTCTTTTCAAAGGCTTATGCAAGCACTCTTATTAAGAGGTTAGTCAATGAGAAATACACTGATGGAGGGATAAGAGAGCACATATTAAGGATGAGCTAACACATCATCCAAGCTCAAGCCAATGGACATAGGGCTCATGGATGAGTTCCTAGTTCATTTGATTTTTGCATCTTTGCCCAAAGAGTATGAAACATGAGAGAATTCTTTATTTGACACCAGACAAATGACCCGTTCCTTTTTTGGCCCTCAAAAATTTCCATTCCCTATTTGACACCGAGTTCATCTTTTATTCCTTACACGACACTCCGTTGGAATTTCCATCCGTGAACCGTTAACTGCCATGTGAAAAGACAGATATTGCCCCACCATCCTTCTCCCTCCTCTCCTCCCTTTCTCCCTCCTCTCCTCCCCTTCTCCCTCCCATATAAGCAGCACGCCGACGGTGGAGAAGGCAGGCGTGTCGCATAAGCCACACGTCTCCTGCGCGTAGACCCCGCGCCCACCAAGCGCCTAGAGCCAGCCACCGTCCATCGAGCAGCCACAACCACAAACACAGCAGCAGTCCGTGCAAGTGCAGCCACAGCAGGCGCCGGCGCTGGCAAGGCCGAAGCGTGCGAGCAGCGCGGACTCCACGGACTGGGTGGCCTCGTCGCTGACGCGGCGGTTCAGGATAGGCGCGGGGCTGGCGTGGACCGGCTTCTCGGCCGTCGGTGTGGTGTCCGAGCAGCTCAAGACCCACTTCGAGGTCACGCAGCAGAAGCAGAGCCCACACCAAGTCGGTACCATTCACCATGCTTGTGTCGTTAATTCTTTCAGTTACAAAACCGCCATTACTTCATTTGGTGGGTGCAATGCCCGCTCTGTCTCGTGTGCGCAGGGACGTGGAGCAGGAACAAGAGGTCGTCCTCCCCAATGGGATCAGGCACTACGAGATGCGCGTCGGTGGCGGCGACGTCCCATTGACAGGCGACCTGGTGGTGATCGATTTGTAGGGCCGGGTGGCCGGCAGCGGCGGGGAGGCGTTCATGGACACATTTGGCGATGGCAAGCGGCCGCTGGCGCTGGTGATGGGCTCCCGGCCATACACTAGGGGCATGTGCGATGGCGTCGAGTACGTGCTGCGCTCCATGAGGGCCGGCGGCAAGCAGCGGGTGGTCGTCCCGCCGGGCCTCATGTTCGGCGACGACGGCACCGACTTCGGGGAGGAACACGTCCAGATCCCGCCCGGCGGACAGGAGGGAGAAGGGGAGGAGAGGAGGGAGAAGGGTGGTGGGGCCCAAGGGGCAAAATCGTCTTTTTACATGACAGTTAATGGTTCATGGATAGAAAATCC